GAGGGGGGTCGGGGGGCGCGCTGTCTGGTCGTTAGCCGACAGACAAAACAATCCGAGCGTAGGCCGCTCTCTTCAACGGCGCCGACGAAGGAAAGCTTCGGCCGCGTCAGTCGCGCTCGTTTTTCAGAACGTCGCGCGCCGAGGATGCGACAATAATTAGACGCGGACTGTTTGAGCCTGGTTAATAATTACCCGCTCGGAGTAACCGAAAATGGGAGATTAATTAGCTGGTACGGTGCGATTGGCGTGCGAAAGATCGTAGCGGTGAAAAGAAATTACCAGATAAATCGGAATTTTCAGATGTAGATGTTCGTGATGTTTTTGTATTGTTACATTTTGTTTAGTAGCATTTACCGCGGATTGATGAAAATGTGTAGTGCGGCGAGGGTATGTTTTACGTGAAATATTGGCGATAAGAAACCAATTTCCTATGTTATATGCAGCGTTAGGCAAGAGTTATTCAAAATAAAAAGAAAATAAATTGAAATTATTCGACATATTTTATTTTTTGAATGAACTATTTATGATTGAAAAATAATTAAAATCGAAAACAATCGAGTAACAATCAGATTAAATTTGTTCATTATTTTGAATAACTCTGTCTGATCAGTACCTGAATATACTCGTCAAGAAATGCCAAGGTGTTGTATTATGAGTATACTCGTCCAAAAACAGGTAACTGGTTAAAGGAATATTCGTTTTCGAAACAATGAATTTCATAGGTATACATTATTTAAATGACAATTTTTGAAGAAATTATTTCCAGATATGAACACGCACACATATTAGAATAAGGTGTTTTTTAAAGAGGTCGCAGCAGCTGTGTAACTGGTTAACCGATACGTCGCGTCGCCTACGACGTTTCCCATATATCCCGCGGATTTTCGGTGCCGTTAATTAGATCACGGTAATCCGCGCGAGTAATGGTAATATGACTTTATCGCCGATAATTAGGCGGTGTGTACGAAAATGAGACCGAGCTAGATGCTGATAGGCAAATTAGGCGACGAGCATGAATGTGTTTGGGGGTAATGAATGAGTTTCGGTGAGGATTAATTGAATTCTAGTCGAACTCTGCCGTGCAGCGAGGGAAAGTGTGGCGTGAATTTTGTAGCTGCGCAGATTTCGAATAGAATTTGTGGGAAATGTGTTCGATACTTTCGCAATAATGGGAAATTTTTGATGGGAAATTGACCATTTTTAAATTTGAAAGAATTGTTCAGCAATATTTCTGGATAATATGACAGAAGTAAAAATCCTTTGCTCGTTATTGTCTGTTACTTTCAGTGATATTTAACAACTCCTTCGTTTGATTGTTTCTTAATTAACAATGCAATTTACAGATAATATAAACAGACTTATGATACAGAGAATTATCACAGGAGAAACAGTATATTTCTTTATTCGATTGGATTGTTAAAAGAGAAAAAGAGATCAAACTGAACAGACAAATTAACGAAAATTAAAAGTGTACTTGATGAAAAATGTAATTATTTGGTAGCTTGTACGGACGTCAATATTTGTTACCAGATAAATCAGAATTTTCAGATTTAGATATTCGTGATGCTTTTATATTATTACATTTTATTTAGTAGCATTTAACGCAGATTGATAAAAATGTGTAGTGCAGCGAGGGTACGTTTTACGTAAAATATTTGCGATAAGAAACCAATTTCCCAGCATTAGTGTCGCTAAATTGATTCTTTCTCAGTGTCTACCTTGTTCGCGACCGAAATTGTAACTTGGAGCTTTGCCAGATAAGGACCTACCCCAATTTTCTCCTCGTTACTACATGTCCACGGAGCATAAATTTTTACCATTTATTACACTCGCAAAATCCCGTTATTAATGGCCTGTGTGCAATACTTCACGTTATTCGTCCTTTTTATCTATCGCATAAATTTAATTCACTGGAATCTTACGAACTTCTTGCCGAATTAAAAATTGGCGATATAAACATCTTTTACATAATATAAATTTTAATGTTTTAACGCATATAAACAAGAACAATAGACAATTAAATTCTAACTATGTAATTATTCAAACAGCGTGGACTGTTCGATTTATGTATCTAAAATAACGTTAGAGAACTTTTAAAACGTTGATTTTTTGTAATTAATATCTATTTCAAATCCAAGCATATCTTAAATCGATGTGTTGTCATTGTTTTTAGATCATTAGGATATTATTTAAACCATTAAAAAATTTTAATTCACTTCAAAGCTTGAACTCTTTAAAGTAATTCAACTTTGAATAATTCATGCATACTGAGCTCTTTGAAATACAGAATAATAAGTTTGTATTAACACATCGATCGCTTAATCAGCTTTCATCAAATTATACAATCAAAACAGTTTTCTTAACCAAATTGAATGTTTTTAATATTTCAAGATCTATGGTTGAGAAGGTTTCCTTAATAAAGGTTTCAATGACTATAACAACTGTTGTCCAATAAATCATCTTCTACAACACACCATAATGATTCTTTTATAACTCCGATGTAGAAGAAAATAATTAATCTCCTTTTCCACCTAGTCCAGTTATCGACAAACCTATTAATAGGCTTTCGATAGATAAACCGTTAATCTTCTTGCATCTCATATACCCAAGAAAATTCATTTTGCTCATCGTACCACTGGCAAAATTCAATTTTAAATATACACAAAAAGCTACGTCGCCCAAATTCAAATAAAAAAGCGGTCCAAGTGTTAAAGAATCAAAATCTGTCAATTTCTAAAGTATTATTATAAACGCAGAAATTGAGTTATTTAATAATCTTTGACGATCTATGATATGATAATGTTATAACTCTTATGCAAAAGAAAATAATTAATTACTTTATACAGTTAAAATGACTCTTCCATATAGTTCAGTCAACAAACCTATCAATAATCTTCCGACAGATTAAACGTTAATCTTCATACATCTCATATACCCAAGAAAATTCATTTCCCTAGTGACACCACTCACAAACTTAATTTTCAAATCCACACAAGAATGTACATCATCCAACTTCAAACAACAAAACAATCAAAGTGTTGAACAACCTTTTCAATTTCAGCGTCATTATCACGACTACATTGTCCACAAAATCTCACAAAGTTCGTTCCTCTTGTTTTCCAGATCTCCACATTAGTGTCGCACAGGGAACGTCCGCTATGTTCGGGCAGAAGTTACCGTGCGGTCGACCGGATCGGTCAGGCGGTGAATCTGGCGGTGGAGAGGTTCATCACTGTCGGCGAGACTATCGCAGATAACAATCCGGAGATCAAGCAGGACATGTACGAGGCGTGCAAGGAGGCGAGGGTGGCCGGTGAGTGTTCTTTCTCGCGCGGCGAAGCGTACGGAAACGACGGCGAACGACATCGAGGGAATTAGCTTAACGGAAGATGCTCGCGGAGGTGTCGCGCTATAAAGTTGACCGCTCAGGCGGCGTCGCTGAGCTTCTTAGGCAAACACGCGGATCCTAAAAGGCGACGCCCTCGCGCGCCCGGGACACGTTCTAAAGCCATCCTCGGCTATAAAGACGTGTGTCGCGAGTTGTCGCGTCTGAAAGCTGAAAAGATATCTCTCGGCTGGCATTCACGCCGCTCGCGCTGACGCTCTGAGAGAAATGCAGTCATTGTATTCCCAACAAGTTTTGCTGCACCGAAGTCGAGACTGCACTCTGCTCTCTTGACAGTCGGACCCCGATATCAATGGAGCGAGCGATTCCACCGGCGGTAGTGAAATTTCTAGTGAAACAGCACGGCCATTTCATGTTCCTCCTGCGAATCCACGCCCCTCTCTTTTTCTCTCGCAACTTTTCTTATTCCTCCTCGTGCATTCGTTCAATTCGGAGTCGTGGATATTCATGTTTTCCTTTCCGCGACGTTGTCCGCCTTTGAATGCACGCTTCACGGTTGCTTAAGATCGTAAAGTTGACTGTCGAGACTCTTGATAGTTGTATTCTTGATGTGTGTACATACTGTTGACATGATACGGTTGCGTACAGGGTTGTCCCAAAATCAAACGTCGAAGTTCGGAAACTTGGAAACCGGTATTGATTTCTTACCGTTCTAATGTGCTGGTTCCACATGAAGTTATTTCGGTTCCCCGCAACTGTTTTGAGAACTGAAAAATGAGAGTTGTATAACCGTTTCGGAATCTATTCTAATGGAACTGAAACCGATATAGCTCTGAACCGATACACCGAATAATAGTTATGACTTATTGCGATGCTAACTATTTCGAGAACCGAAATTGATATGACCGTTTTGAATTGCAGCTTTCAACTCAGCTTTATTTGATATTAGATTCCTTTCATTTGGATTCGCGAAAATTCGTTAAAATATTGTATATCTTGTCTTTTCTTTCGTCTCATCTGTTTCAGCATTTAAATCACTATGTATATTTACTGACTGTTTTTTAAAGAACATGTTTTACAGATTTTAGAGTAATATTTTTACATATTTTGAAAAATATATGTATAAATTATTAATATATATAATGTATATTATGATTTGTGTTATAATTGAATTTATATAATATAATTATATTTATATAATAATTTCAAATATATATATATTTTTACTGACTGTTTTTTAAAGAACATATTTTACAGAAATGCGATGTTTTTGAAAAGTGAATTTAGTGATTTTAGAGTAATATTTCTACATATTTTGAATGTATCCGTGGAACAAAAATGAGAGCGATAAATTTTGTGAACAATTAATTTGGATTTCATTTAAGATTCTTATTATTGTATAAAATTGTAGTATGATTTAAAATAATAGTGTGGATGATAGTCGTATAGCTTTCAATTTTAATTCATATAGCTTACACTGATGATCGATTGCTGGAAATGAGGGATTAATAGCAATCAATACCAGGATCCGTGTATAAGATATAAACTCGGATTAATGCACTGTTAAAACCTGTGATGCATACGCGATTTGTTATTATATACACGGTTACTGAATTGTTTTATATATATATTACACAGACAAGTTTAGTTCGTATGTGCCGCAATTAGCAGTTTGATGGTGCTTAAGAGCATTTCCACATAATGCTGGGATTAGTATACATAATTCATTATATCCTAAATAATGAGCGAAAATTCATTACCTAAATTTAATTGAAAATTTAATTGGCGCGCGTGGTTCTCGTTTGCTTGAGATGCAGTTAGATAATAATCGTTGAATTTTGTTAATAATTTCGGTACAGTTAGTGGACAGTTTCGCAATGTCTTTTATTGTTTCATATGAATTAACCCTTGGCAGTCGAAAGTTTTTTGCTAGAAATATTCAAGCCTCTCTGGTAAAATATAAACAATTTTTGTCGCACCTAATGTAACCAATTTAATCAATAAATTAAGGGACAAAATCATTTTACTTCAATACACATAGTGACGCATTATACCAAGTTCAATATTAAACACCAAACCTTATAATTTCATTGTATCAAACTAAATGACTGAGAGTCGCCTTCCGAGTGCAAAGGGTTAACATAGTTTCCAGATCTTCAGACAAACTAATCGAAAAAGTATTCTGTCGCGAAACGTTTCGTTTGGAAGTATTCAGCACTCAAATGGCAAATAGGTTGGCATTCATGTAATTTGACTCGCACATTTGTATTCATCGTAAGTCTATGATACATCCGCAATCTCGTTACGTGTATCTGGAGAGACAAACACTAGGAACAAACGAAACAAAAATCGACGTTCCACGGTTATCAGGATTGCGTACCCGTTGAACACTCTTACGTTCCGCATTGGACTCCGTTCTCGCGTTTTTCCAATTCACGCAGATCGCTCCCGAACAGAAACATTTCACGGAGACCTATATCGGCGACGCACAAAGGAGCGCCTTCGGCTGAAATGTGCTTCCTCGCCGCGGGGATAGAAATATAAGCTCTCCGGTATAAAATACCGGGAAATGCGTCGGTAAGAATACGCAAATTGAAGGAAAAAATTGCTTCGCTGTTCTCAAAGTGCTTCCCGGAACTTTATTCGAGAAGTACTACTCCGCTATTCAAGTTATCTCATTCGTAATGAACCTCTGGATCATTTTCATTATTCGAAACCGAGGAAACATGACCGAGAGGAGCTTTCTATGGCTTGAAAGCATTTATTCGATGGTAATTTAATATGAAAAGTGTTGTAGGAGTTCAATTGTAATGTACGTTTCCTGGCTCTGTCCAAAATAAAAATATTCTTCTTTTATTGATTACGTTAAACATTATTATTTTATAAATAAATCAGAAGAATTAAAAGTTAATTACATTCTTCACATAATATTCACAGACTGAGATTTTGTATTCTCATTCGATCAAACAACTGAAGAAAATAGAAATATCAATTGAACGTAATGGATAATTCATCGATATTTCCTAGTCAATATTGAACAGTTTTACAAAATGTATTTAAATGTGAAAGCTTATAGTTTAAACTCTTAGCCAAGCTTATGAATTTAATTTTTATGAAACCTTCTGTTCTTCTATAAGATTTTCTTCAAGAAACACTTCATGAATGATCGCGGGAATGGTTCGAACATATTGTTTTTGCGTTTACTTCGGCAGATTCCACAGAAAATCTTGCCTCTCAATTTTTTCCGACAAAAACCGATGCAAATAACACTCGAAGAACTTGTTTTACATCTTTCCGCGAGATAAACCCGATTTATTCCGCTACGTTGGAGAAGCGTACTCGAAATGTGTTTGTTTTGCTAGTTCCGCGTTGAATCGATTGTCAAAAAAGATGAAGGATGTAAAAAGTACGCCGTGACCTATATTCGAAGATCCTTGGAAGATGTTTGAAGCGGAACCTTGAGCCGCGTCTCCTTCAGAGAGAAACGAACCAACAAGGAGTCGTAAAAACTTTTCCGTTCCCCTTCTGGCTCATCGTGGTAGGGCTTCCGATTAATTCAGGTAAAAAATCCTTGAGTAATCAAGGCGTGACACTTGAGACTAAAGATTGATGAATATGAAAATTAGAAATCGGAGCAAACGAATTACCTTACTGCCTATGCTAGAAAAAATTGAATTTTATTATGTGATGGAAATGCATGGAACTATGTGATGAAAAAAATATATTTAAATGTATGTACAATTTCCAATTTAGATCCTCAATAATTATAATGAGACAGCAGATTCGATAATTTTATAAAACGTAATAAGATATGAAATTTAACGAACATAAGTAATACTTTTGCTTCTACTTATTTTTATTTCGATTTGTCTATTAATCCTTATTATAAAATAATTATTTCTATATTATTAATACAATTTAAATTTATACTCACTATTTATATACTTCTAACATAAATACCGTTGAGTTACAATTCAGCAGAAACATTGTTAAATTGCAAGGAGTAAATTTAATCACGGACACTGCATCATTTAGATATTTATTTTTATTCAGTGGAACAACTATTTCCGCAATACAACATGCTTCCCTCGATAAAACGGATTTAGCCACTAGTAAAATATTTGATCTTAATATTGTAAGGCAGATAAAAATGAAATTGAGCCATAAATATTTCTCCATCGACCGACGAGATGTATATCAACGAACAGAAATGTAATAAACCAGCGAAACGAGAACATTTAAACGGCGTAAAGTCTATCTTTGCCAAGACGTACCGACGATTTCCTCGTAATTGTTTCAAAAGGGCAGCGATGCTAGAAGTTGCAAAGGTCACATAAAGAATACAGCCTCAAAGAGGGCGATTCCTATCGCACCTACTCTCCGCTCTGTGAATGATATCATGGGTAGGAAGTTCACTATGACCTAGCATGCAACTTATCCGAATAAATCGCTGCAGCTACCGCAATAAATTTTATTCAGTCTTCGCGATTCGATCTGCGACTAAAAATATTTCCGTAGATTAGCAGCCGCAGTGTCGGACTTTGCCGAGAAATATTCAGGTATTAGAATTTCTATTTCTCCTGATGTTTATTTAATAACCGTTTTAGTACCAATATTTAATGACCAAATAATAATATGTCATATATAATATAGTCATAATATTCTGTGTTAAACTCGAAGAAAAATATAATGTTAATATAATACAATACATACATAGATAAATGATTGAATAAATAGATGAATGACAGATAAAATATTCGTACGAAATTAAGAATTCATCCCTTGAGTGCCAGGGGATGTTTTTATACATATTCGAGAAATGTCGAACAATTTTTAACAAAGTTGCATGGTTGTAAACAGATGTTTCGGTTAATTTTTATCTGAAGTTCACAAAATTTGTGTAGAATATTGAAAACATTTTAGACGTCCTTTATTAATAAAATAGTCAAACTGAAAAATTTCGTTTT